TATCACACTGTTGAACACAGTAGGAAAAAGTGTTCTGTAAGCTGCAGAACGATAGGATAGTGGGAGTATTGGAGAAGAAACGTAGCATTAGTGAGGGCCAGGCAGGTTTCCGACAGAAGAGGGGGTGCGTAGACCACGCATTCACGGTAGGGAGAATCATCCAAGGTAGAAAGAGGGCGGGCAAGCGGACGTACTGCTTCTTCCTGGACGTGAAAAAGGCATACGATACCGTATGGAGAAATGGGCTGTGGAAACAATTGTCCAAGTACGGGATCAAGGGGAAAATGTGGAGGGTGCTGAAGAAGATGACAGAGTGTACGAAAAGCGCGGTCATGCTAGACGGAGAACTGTCTAAATTATTCGACATTGAGCAAGGGGTCCCACAAGGTTGCACGCTGTCCCCAACATTGTTCCAGGTGTTCATCAACGATCTGTTGGAAGTCGTAGAGGCAGTCCGGAAGGGAGTAAAAGTAGGGGACACGGAAACTTCGGTGTCAGGAATGCTGTTTGCGAATGACTTTGTTGGTATGTCGGACACCCCTGAGGGACTGCAACTGCAAATTGACGCGGCGAAGAAGTTTACTGATAAGTGGAGATTGTCTGCCAACGTTACGAAGAGTGCCGTCATGGTATGCAACGAGGGCAGGGAGGAACCAGTAGAACATAGATGGAAGTGGGGGATCGAGGAGATTGCAGTAGTGGACCAGTACACATACCTCGGAGTAGAGATCGCAAAAGATTGCTCGTGGAATGCACACATGTCCAAGGTAGCGGAAAAGGGCAAAGCACGAGCAGGGAAGCTGCACCCAATACTCGCAAACCGGCACCTTGATACACGCATCAAATTGACGGTTTTGAAGAGCGTAATCGTACCGCCGCTGGAGTACGCCGGAGAAGTATGGGAAGGAAATAAGAAGGTAGTGAAAGAACTCGAGGCGGCGCAGATGAAAGCAGCGAAAATCATCCTAGGATGCTCCAAGCGCACAAGTAATGCAGCAGTCAGGGCAGAATTGGGGATCCAATCCCTACGGTCGGGAAGAGACGTAAGGAAGCTGACATGGCAGTACCGCATGTGCGGGATGGGAGAGGAGAGGTTGCCGAGAATAGTATGGGAGGCGAAGTGGGCAAACAAAAAGAGGGGTAGACAACCCACGGAATGGGTCAAGGTTGTAGAGGACGTATGGAAGGGATTGGACATCGACGAAGATGAAACGCTGGAAACGGAGGGTCTACAGGGGTTCAAGAAGAAGATATCTGTTGCTTGTGCCGACAGAGAAGAACAGAATCTAAGGAAAGAAACCAAGGATAAGGAGGGTCTAGAAGTGTACGGAATGTTGAAAGAAGGAATAGGGTTCAAGGATTACCTACATGGACCAATGGATGCAGGGACAAAGCTTAAGGTCAAATTCAGGACCGGGGACATAGGCCTTCGCGAACGTCGACGAAGACATAGGACGGTAGACGACGAAGACGACAAGTTCAAATGTCATTGCGGCTTCGAATGCGAAGACAGTGTTCATGTAGTCGCGGAATGTCCGTGGTACGAAAAGGAGAGGGAAGTGTACATGACTGAGCTGGGAAGAATACAAGGGACGTACAGGGAGATGTTTGAGGCATGGAATAGAGAGGAGAGGACGGTAGCGGTACTGGGGAGTAGGAAGTGGTTTGAAAAGGCGGGAAGTGACATCGGTAGGATAGACAGACTAGGGAAGACATTTTTGAGCCACCTTTGGCAAAGTAGGAAGGAACGATTGGCCATCGGTGATCGGTCCTGTGGGAACAATGCTCCGTCCTCTCGAGGACGCGTGGTCAATGGTCTAACCGCTAAGGCATGCAAAGCATAAGAGTACGCCCCCCCCCCCCCCCCCCCCCCCCCCCCCCCCTTTCCTCTCTTTTTTTTTTTTTTTT